GCCAGTTCATGTTTACACTGTCTACAGTTTACACACTTGAAGAGGGTTTAGATTCAAACTTGGCCTCACAGGTCTAACATGAGGTGCAGCACAAAGCTCAGTGTGCTGATTCTGAATGGGCCTTGTGGGCACAGGCCCAAGGGCCCAAGGGCCCAAAGGGTAGGGTGCCCCTAGTCTTCATCTGCAAAATTTCTGACAAAGAGACAAAAACCAGTACAAACACAAAGAGCCACAAAGAAATGCAGAAAGATCAGCAAATGTAGAAAGAGATGTAAAATGTTGTGACCATAAAGAGATGAAACACTCACAGACCTGGCTGCATGATTTGTAGCTGTGTTGCAGGGGTCCTGCTGCTATAGGAGGGTTGGGGAGCGGGGACCCGTTGGCTCTGGGTCATTTCTCTGATCAGCCTTGTGGACCTCTGCTCGCAGCTCAACATGTAAAAAAGGATCCTTCACCACTGTGAGATGGGGACAGTTTCGATATGCCTGCTTCTGACGTCCTACACAGTAAATGGTAACATCCCCATAAGGTCTACACACAGCAACATCTGATCCAGATCCAAGTCATATTCCAGATCTGCTGATCCAGAGTGTTCACATATATAGGACTCACACAAAACTGGCTCCTATGGGATGAAACATGATACTACAGACTGAAATCAGGTTCTAGCTGAGACTGCTACATCCTGAAGAAATGATGATAATCATCTTTATTGGCCAAGTCTTCAGTACAATACCAAGGCAGCTGTCTGTGGCTCGTCACGTTCAGCAAAGAAATGCACCAAATCCTCACATTTGAGAAGCTGAAAACTGCATGTTTTGGCATTTTTGCCCCCAAAAAATCACTACAATTAATATTTGATTATCCAAGTATCCACTGGTTTATTTTCTCTTGACTGATCATTGCAGTTCTAGCAACAAAACCTCATGTAATCAAGAGAACTACTGGTAATTTAATCAGTAATCGAAATAAGGTTTAGCCACATTTCTAAAAAAATAAAAATAAAAAAATAAAAAATCACACTGATTTTCACATTTATTTTTAACAGGTCAAAAAGTCTTTGTAAGGACAAAACCTTCAAACTAAATTGAAATGTTGGTTCATCCAAGTGTGGCCACTCACACTTGGACCAACCTTACTCAAAATAGTAAAAAACAAACAAACAAACAAACAAAAAAAAAACAAACAAAAACAAAAAGAGGCACGAGATTCTTCAGCCTGAAGTTTGTTTTTAGAAGAGAATACACTAGAAAAAGTCTGCCTTAAAACAACCACTTCTTAAATGGATTTCTGAGTGTAAATACAAGTGCCTGTCTGGGTTTTACATGCAATACAGGGAAACAAATAAATATACGAACATATGTCTTCTTAACATGTGGACACCTGCACAGTATTACAGTGCAACATAAAGCGTACTGATGTTCAGCAGTTAAAAACAGAGAAGAAAGCAAAAAGATACAAATTCAGTCTGTCACAGTCATGTCAAATATTTGCCTCGTTTTGAATAATATTGAGAATCTCTCTTCAGTGCCACTGTTTCTGAATTTAAAGTATCTTGAGGCCAAATTCACTTCTACCAACGATTCATCCATTGGCTCTGCCCCAACACACACTTTTAATATTAAAGAGCAGAGCGTTTGAGGCAAACAGACTCATCATAACCACCATCAGCCTAGCAGCTCTCATGTGATTTCCTGCACAGTGTGTTCTTAACCAAACAGCCTGAGTCCATTAATATATTACAGTGTATAAATGTCTACATTTATCCAGAGGAGATGTTACTTTCTTCTGGATCTTTAGAGGGAACGTTTTCAGCTGTCGAACTCTCCGAGCGCCGCGGCAAGCTGCCTGCAGAGCCAACTGCAGACCTGCTGCCGACATGGTTTCACTCAAGTTCACCCTGCTGGCCTGTGAGTAGTCTGATCTGTGCACCTGCAGAGTTAATGCCACCATGTCTCTACAGGAATGATCTCTCTGTTTTCCAGAATGACATGTTAAAACCAGGCAGAAACTTTCACTTGAGTTACAACCTTTACATTCAGAAT